GGGGGGGGGGGGGGGGGGGCTTAGTTGACGTGTTGGTCTCCGTTGGTAAGCCGTTAGACTACTGTGTTGTTTTGATGTTTGACTCGGCCGACTCGAAATATTGGCGGCAGGTTCTGTGGAGAATTGTAAGGAGCAGTGCATTACCAGCAACCGCTCAGATTTCGCGAATCCCAATGTAGATTGATCTCGTAGTACGGTGCGTTATCGCTAATATAACGTTTCGTGGCGTTACTCGGGGGTGCCCGAAGTACCAAGGTTTGCGGCATCGGCCCGCGGCTATGCGGTACTTTGTCTTATTGAGAACCACGTGGACGTTTTTTCCTTCTCCTTGTCCGTAAATGTGTCATGCTACATCGACAGAGTAGGTGTCGTTTTGACAGCGAGAATAGTGTGTTGGCGGTGGCACGCCGACGGTTTCTTGTGCATGAGCGTTTGTTCGCCAGGCTGCTGCTGCTCTTGCCGGGTTTTTTTGTCGCGGAGTATGGGGTAAGGGTAAATTGCCGTCTTTGGTTGGTACCCCTATTGTTCGGATTATGTACCTTAGGTTCTTTCTTGTGCTACCCTTTGTGATGAGCGAATGCCGCACCAGTTACATGGGCCTACAGGCTCGCTCATGCTTGCTTGTGTTGCACACTTCGCCGCTCTCCTTGCGGTGGTGTTTTTTTTTCACGTCATTTGCAGGCTGGCGTCGAGAGCACGTCGAGGTGCAAATCGCACAAAGCTCGCAGTTTCTCAGGTTTGCCGAACACAAGAAATGCGGAACTTGATCTGGCCTCCTTTCAGTCGTGGTGACGGGTGCCCACCATCACTAAACCGTCACTGCTAGTGAACACCTGTTGAATGCCTCTGTGGCCATGCTGTCTCTTGTCGTTGAATACTTCACCACGGCTTTTACCGGGCGTGAATGAGCCGCTTGTGTTGCCACGGCATCTCTTGAAGGAAACGCCGTTCCAACGGGACACAGTGTTCTATTATTTTCTACATGGTCCAACGCGTCACTAGCTGCAATTCAGCGCACTTGTTACGGAGGGTGTGCCGCCTCCTCGTTAATCTCTGAGGAGACAACATGGCGGGTTTCGGACCTGGCTGGGGCTACTCCCGGCCTATTTTTTACATTATCGAATTGCATGATCGTTCTCATGGCAGATAGGATGAAAGAAACGAAAAGGGTAAACATTGAAAATGACAGGGTCCGAGTGATATATCCTTCCTGTTTGACTCATGCAATGTACGTCAAAATGTATACCGTAAGGTCGTGGAAGACTGGCGCCAAAACAGATGGGACGAGTAAACGCACTCACGCAAACACGTTGGATTCGTAAATTCCGTGCTGTGTCCCGCTAACCCACAGGGCGGAGAAAGGAGACGCCGGGTTGTTTGGCAGGACGATAACGACGCGATCAAACACGGGGTCCTTATCCTAGATGAGACTAGATTGGACTCGTATTTTTGGGTGCGCTCTGCGTTTTCCGGCCCCATCTCGTCCACCACAACTTGTTTTTGGCCCCGATATCGCTGTCGCTGTCCTTTCCTTTTTTTTTGCGGGTGCCGTACCCACCCGCGTTGCTCGTGGAGAATTGATTTTGAGTGTGTCTTTTTTCTTTTCTTGTCCGTGCAGATGCCTGCCACGAAGGTTGAATATTGACGCGAGAAAAACTTCAGCGCGAATTGGAACAAGGCGCATGTGTTGGCACTGCCGAAAGTCCTGCCGTATTTCTCTGTTGCTGCTCACGCGTTTTTCCTTCTCTTCTCAAGGTGGACGTAAAACAACCGCAGTATCGAACAGCAGCTGCAGCTGGTGTACATGCCCTGTCACAGACAGAGCTGCTGCATCGGTCTGTCTGGATCACAATACAGTTGCGACACAGACAACGAGATGTTGCGCTGTCCGAGCTTGAACGATCGCTGCGGTTTTGATGAGCACACGTAAGACGGCGAGAAGCGGGGTTGAACCTCACTACCAATAAACAAACCTTGTGTAATAGTTCGCGCGATCAGCCAGAGTAGGCGATCAGTCAACACCAGCCACACGTCTAGGCCAAAGTAAGTTCGGCTTGGCTGTACAGCGCAAAGGTGCGGCAATGAACGCTGTTTTTTAGTGGAAAAAGGTTCAGGCGTGAAACGGCATTCCCTTCGACCACGATGTCCGCGAGAAAAAAAAATATATACACCGCTGCAATGTATTGTGGACCTGACATTTGTCCGCATTCACACAGCACTGCTATGGCGCCGCAAGGAATACAACGGTTCAAAGGCCAACATATATTTGTACTTGAATCATAGTGCGTCGGATCCTCGTTCGTATTTCCACGGAATCTACCAAATCTACGCAATACTGCTGTACACAGTTGTACTCGGGAAAAAAACAGCCTTGCCCCGACGGTAGGCCGAAACCGCCGACTGAAACACGCCTCCGGAAATCGACAGCAGGCGTCATGTTTATGATTTCCACGACAACGGCTGGCCTACGCCTCCTTGCCGTATGAGCAGCGCGCTGACTACCAAACTCAAATGCCCGCAACGCCAATGATGCGCAAACCTACACAAGAGGTCCATACTCTCCCAGTGTGCGTGAGAGACGGACAAACATCGGGAGAAAACAACAATCCAACAATCCATCACATCGTCTGCGTGTCTTGCGTACTCCGACTGACTTTCCCTCAAAAATACGCGACCTGCTTGTTTTACGGCTGGCCTGGACGGACGTCGAAGGTGACCAGCCGCAGGCAGATATACCACCTGCGGAAACCACGTCGCCCCCCTCTCTTTCACCCTCCGCAGATGGTGCCGCGCGCTACCCCTGCTCTACGCGCGTCGCTCCCCGGCCACCGCCGGCACCACCAACACCGCCCTCAGCAAGCACGCGCTACTTGTATCGGGTGTTTCCTCGACATGGGCGAACAGCCGAGGCCAAACTCTTCCTCTCCCGAAGAGCTTACGTGCTACCCCTGCCCTCCCCCACGGAAATTGCTTGAATATTGCAAGATGTGTGCTGCCCCCACCTCCCCCGATCCCGTCGCGAAGCCTTCATTTTGCGGGGTCTCTCTCCGCGAGAAGACAAGCAGCACCAAACGGGAAGCCGTGAAGCTACCGCACCGTCGTGTGATTGTCCCACCGCCGCCTATGGCCCAAAAAAAACGCCAGAGCGAGCGAGGGAGTGCTCTTGCTCCACGAAACGCCACCTACTTCTCACAACGCCGTGCTCATGCCCCGAATCTTCTTCATGAAGCTATCTTGTCATACCTGTAGTAGGGAGGGGGTGAAAGTAGATGCCGCGGGGCGGAACAAGGGAGGGTTTAGCTACTAACTTTCAAGAACTCATGCAACACAAGTGCTCTCACCGGCGCATACCCACGCCTTGGTCATGTCAACACGAGGCTGATGTGTGAGACTACTGCTGTGAGGCTTCTGCATTGCCGCGCTCGAAAGGAAAAAATATCTGCTTATGTAACAGTCATTGCCAGCCATCAACGAAAAAGAGGACTCGACAAATATAAAAAGAGAGGAAACAGACAACAGCTATGAGCACCCAAACCCGAACAAGCATTTAGAGAATTGAAGGAGTTGAGGGGGGGAACGGACCTCAACCAAGGACAGGGGGAAAAGAAAACATCCAAATACGCAGATCCGAGAAAATTGAACGCTCAAGATGATGTGAAATACCCAGGCAAGGGGGGAAAAATCAAGGACGAGGGAAAAGCATTGAAAAACGGAAACAAACGAAAAAAAAAACAACCCTCAAGCGGGTGCGAGATATCCGAGCAAGGCAATAAAAAAAAATGAGGACGACAAAAAAAAAACGCTTACAGCGGGACGTCCACGCGCTCCGAGACGGCGTCGAGGTACGCTCGCAGCTTCGGTGGGATGCCCAAGCCTTGCACGATCGTGAGGCCACGCATGCGCGGGAAGAACTCTATGTCGTTGTAAGACAGCTTCCCGTCCGCCGCCACGCTGGTGGGACTGTGGATCATGCCCTCAAGCTTCCACAGCTCGCGCTCCAGCTCCTCGATCTGCCGGTTCGGTTCGGGGGAGGGCGTCAGCATTCAAGCAAAGACAAATAAACGAGCGCGTTCGACGAGGATAAGGTTGCTGGGTGTACTCCTGCCACCATCAACGTGTACTGTGGCCCAGATTTTGTGGAGTGCGGCCCATTTCGAAGAAGCATGTTCTTTGTGTCGGCTTCCTAGACGCGAGAAGAAGCGGCGCGTTCGAGCGAGACTCGTGCAGCCCTCGCCCCCCGCGCTTCTTGGTGGCCACCAATGACGAAGAATTCAGGAGCAAATGAGGAACGCACACCCCATGTGACGAAGAATCATAGGGCAGAGGAGCACAACCCCCTCACTAGCAAGTACGGCAGAGCAGCAGTGCACATCGGAGCGTTGGTTGTCTCCCCACGAAGGCGTGGCAGCGATCCTCTGTCCGTAGAGGGATGCGGTCTCTGATAAAATGACCAAGACAAGCCACAGAAAACACACACCCCCTTCCCGCCAACGCCAAGCCCGTGTGTCTTCCCACTACCTGACGTTGTGCACCGCCGCTTTGAGCAGGCGGAGACAAGCAAGCACGTGACGGTGGAGGCGGGGCGTTTACCTCGGCATGACACGCTGCATGAATTCTTTGCGTGGTTTATACTCACAACGAGTTCTGTCAAGAGCCACCAACCATCGCCTTACAGCGTAGAGACGGCCAGGGTTATCGCACGGCCGACTGAGCCGAGGAGAACACAACACACGGCAAAAACACGAATATGAGGACAAGGCTTACAACAATACTTACCAGCTTGGGCGACGCCTTGAGGTTGGCCTCGTAGCTGCTGGGCTCCGGCAATGGGTGGTTGCGGACAAACGCCTCTCTCGCCGATCGAGTCTGCCGAGTATGCAGCGCGCGCCAGATTTTGTTGAAAACATGGTTGGTATACACCGGCACGATAACTCAGGGCAGTGGGGGGTTTGGTAAGGTTGACTCGTTGCTACTTTTATGCCTGCCATCCCTCTGAGTAATGTAGTGTGACCCCGCACAAAGACATCCTCCGGCTGCGTCGCGCCGAAGGTGTTTGGCAGTTACCCACAGTCCCGCTCGTCTTGTCTCTCGCGTACGCTTAATGCATTGCCCTCTCCCCCAAGTAAAAAAGAACGCCTGTCATGGCAAAGCCATGCAGCCCTGACGGTGGTGGTAAGTTCACGAAGTGAGGCTTTACGTATGTCGACCAGCAGCTATCGACCAACAACCGACCCAGACTGCCACAACCACTGCAAAACCGCGCCTCCCGCCTCATAAAATTCAAGGCCAGACAAACAATACCATCAGCAACAAACGTCCCATGAAGGTACACGAGTTATCACCTGGAACTCCGCGAGAGGCGTGACGGCGTTTCTCGGGCGAACGAGGCGGCGCATCAGCATGCCTGCAGAGGAAACCCAACTGTCCAGGTCTTTGCGGTCGACGGCGGGGGCCAGCACGGGAGGCCCGAACTGGGGGTCCAAGTCCAGCCGCTTGACGATGTCCATGCTCTCGGCCATGATCTGGAAATGGTAGGCACGTTCCGCGTAAGGAGGCAAGGCCAGACGTGAAAAAAGCGACCCGATGAGACAAGACGAAAAAAGTGCCCCCCGCGCTGGAAGCAACTGATGAAACAAACACGAGATGGTTTAGACTGTGGATCAAACCTCCTACGCATACAAAAGAACACACGCCAATACCTTGAGTACTATGCATGAATGGACATGTATCCGTGTGACGATCAGATACGAAAGAGACAAAAGGGCTATGGTATTACAGCAAACAGGGGATGGGGTGAATAAGCAACGACGCGACACTGCAACACCTTTCCCGGCCCTATCCGACCCGACACCCTCCTGAACACGGTCTCCTCACACCTGAACAAATAAACAAAATGCCGCAAATTGTCAATACAGAAGGTCTGGAATGCTTTCACATAGTATCGACAGCAGCAGCAGCAACAGCAACAACAACACAACGCACCTCGTGATCGTCGGACCCAGGGCGGCCGAGCTCGAGAATCGGGACCATTTTCTTGCCGACCATGGCGGTTGGCGTCTCGATGTCGTCGTTCGACAGGTACGCCAGGTCGTGCGTGATCCCTTTGAGCCCGAAAACCATGCTGAATTGCGATTGGACGGCAAGGCGGGGAGCGAACGTGGGCAGTTGACATCTTTCCTCGTATGGACTTGCAGCCGGGGTCGGGATTGGGGCGGACTCAAGCTCAAAGCAGCACATAACAAACGCGTGGGAGTAATGATGAGGCCCACTTACCGAACCTCGACGTCATGTCGGTTGATGCAACCGATCCGATACGGGACTTTGCCTTTTTCTGGGCGCTCGGTTGTAGGCTCACCGCGCGGGTATGCATGTGACGCGAGTACGATCAAATGCAAGTTTTGGCTTGGGTGTTACCAGAAATATCCCCGGTCTGCCCTCTTCTCTTCGTATCCAAAGGAGCGATGTCGATGTACTTGGAACGCAACAGACGTTCGAAGAAAAGCCGAACATTGCATAAAATATAGTACTGCGTGAACCAGCACCAAAGTGGGTGAAACGCGGTCTACTCGCGAGCACACGCCACGTGCCCGTACATTCCTCACACAATTCGCCGTCCCCCGTACGCGGCGAGACACCGCCAAACTACAGTACCTCTGTACGATACCTGTGACGGGTAGTGAGTGAGTATGAAACGTTGTTGCAAATGACAAGGGTTGACTGTTCTGTGCCTGTTTACCGGTGTGTGCGTCGTGCTCCCTCGCTTGTTTAACAGGACACGCACACGGAGGGGAGTGAGCGGCGAGTTTCGTCCGAACGAGATTGTGTAAGGCAGCTTTTCTCAGACCCTTCGACAGCTGTGCCGGCTACCATGTAACAGAAGGCTTGGCAAGCCGAAAATATTCTCGTTTGTCCGTACTTTCGTTTACCGTAGGTTGTACAAGATACCACACCCTGGACCGATTTTCAAAGCTCAGCTACTCCACGACGAAGAGGATGCTGAAAAAAAATGATACTCCCACGCATACAACATTTTCGGAAGCTCTCGACGAGACAGTTCCGACGCCGCCGTTTTCGGCACCGTGACAGTTTTTCCTGCCGTTGAACTTGAGCTTTGAAAAATCGGTCAAGGATGTGTGATACCTTATGCAATCTTCGGTATATCGATTCTCTGCTATCGTAGCCGGCAGTGCTGTGACATTCATTATTTCCATTTTTGCAGTGTTCGGGATTCATCCTTGTGTACAGCAGGGGTTGATAGGTGTCCGCGATAGCAATGGAACCATTACTGTAGTCTATGCATAGGTACGGTACAAGTTGCTCATGAGAGATCGGCACGGCGAATGAAGATGGTACAGCAGCAGCACAAACCTCACTTCATCACGCAAAAACGCAACGATAATTGTGTGTACGACGTGCTACAAATCACCATCATTGATCCATTACATATCCAGGATTTGATAGATACTACTGTATGGTACTGCGGACTTCGGGTACTGCTCAACTCCTAGGAATCTTCGGAAGACTCAGGCTGATGGCCTGACCTGACAAAGTTGAAATTCAGAGTGCTCCGGAGTAGTCTACACATACGAATGCAACATGGAACGATCGAGAGTGGGGGGCTCTCCGCACTGCCTACGTGCCAGAAATCATACTGCTGGCACCGGCAGTACTGCTGATATTACTACAGGTATGTTGCCCCGCCATTATGATGTTCTGCAGGAGGCTCGTCGATCTAACGATCCTCCTGCTGTGAGCAGAGCACACTAAACAGTACCACAACTATTAGTAGTGAGCGTTGCCACACGCTCGGTACCGGGCTGACTGCTGTTGTATGTTTCATACATCGTCCTGGCCAAACATGGCAAGGTCTCCTAGCGCTCGATCAATAGTCGCGGTGTCCCATAGCGAATGACAACTCTTGTCCTGAAGGACAACTCCTGTCCTTCCCTCCGAACAGCGTCGGGCGTCGGGAGTGGAAAGAAGGCGCCGCCGCTTCGTGTGTTCAACTGACTGGTGCTATGTAACCTCCTTCTGCTAGTTTACGTTCGTTCGCTAGTGTTCAAAATGCTACCCTCACCGTGGCCGAACACAATAAGGGCAATGGTCGTAGATCCAGAGCTTCGGCCGAGGGCTTTCTATCTCCTTGACGGGCTTGCTTCCAGTCGGAAAGGGCATCGCGACCTTGTCCTGGGCAGCAGCAGCAGCAGAAGACGATGACGAGGCCATCACAGGTCCGCCCGCCGTAGCAGATCGAGCTCCGGACGAACACGCAGCAGGAAAGCTCAAGGTCAGGCCGTTCACCCCGGGTCGCAGGAACAGTTGTGCCACAGCAATGGCAGGCAGGAAAGTCGAGAGGCACAGCCGGGAGGGAAGAGTGGCCGGGGGCATGCTCTCGTGTTCCGCTTGCCTGCTCTTTCGTTTGGTTACCTTCTTTTTGAACTGATGGCAGGGGTATCGATGACAGGAAAATATTGCTCTACACACAAAATGACGAACTTCTCTGCGTGCCCCCCACACTGTACTTGTAGTTGGGGGCGCACACACTGTGAAAGTTGTGTTGAGCACACCATTTATGTAGTTTGGCTTGGGTGACCACTCTCTCTTTCTCTCTCTCTCTTTCTCTCTTTCTGTAGCTGCCAGACCCACCGGACCAGACTGCGGGGAAAACTACTGAGGTGAGCCGTGATTTCTGCAGTCGCGTTGGTGCTGAGTCATTGATTACTTCCCTTGGCTGTGAACCAAACATCAGGTCGGCTTGGTACAGCAGCAGTACAGCAGTCGTCATACAGCTGCAAAGCAGCAACGCAAGCAGCACATAGATCTGGCAAGAGAGCAAGGGAGACAGACAGGTGTGGTTGGATACCTGCAGGAGACCAACTCGTGGTATACATCGTTAATGCATGCGTGCTCTGAGCGGTGGTATCAGATCATGACGGTCATGGTTGATTAGTTTGGAAATTCCGAAATCCACGCAACTCGCATCGAGTTACTCGTTGGCCATATTGCCATATTTGTTAACAAGTTGTACCGCACCGGTAGTCATCTGTACAATCAGGTTCCGCTTCCACAGCTCAACGTCGCGAACAGCACAGCAGTCGTATCTAGAACTCCATTGCGGCAGTCTCCTTCGTCGACATTCCAAGTAGGGGATAATCCAGCAGCAGAAGATCATTCAAGTCTGCATTTCTGCGCACAGACTGCGAACAGGCAGCATCCCTTCGCAGTTTGACGCATATCTTACACGAACTTCAAGTGATCTGAAAAGTGTGCGTTTTTCCCTTCGACGCAAATGCCTTGTACAGCGGTAGATACAATTCGGCGGTAACGTGTTGACTATGTCTTTCCCTTGGGATCACTCTCGTGGGAGGTTGCTCGGGAGGGCTGTAACAAGTGCTGTACATATGTAACAGCTTGACCACAAACGCCAAACGGCCGGGGTATTTATCTTCCTTGGCTGCAACACGACGCCCTTGTGCCTAAAATAGTGGTTCAAGATGGAAGGAGACGAGAGAGGGCTTTCTTCCCAAGAAGCACGCACAAACGGCAAGCTTCATCTCTGCGGGTACCCGAGAGAGCCCAGGCACCTGGTGACTTGACGATGGATCCATATGTGATCGCTTACTTCGTTTTTCGCAGGTTTGTTTCTCACCCAAGATTTCTCAACATAAACGCAACCAATTCCCTTCGACCCCCCCCCGCCCCTCCCCCGGCGCCGACGACAGGTTCAGAAGATAGTTGGCACGATCAATCACACTCCGAGGCACCTTGTCCACGGCAAGGCACAACAACAGCAGTTCACCGGTTGGGTATCGAGGGGGGGCACGCGACCGGGCATGGCATGCCGTCGATGTCGGAGCCGGGGTGTCTGCTGGTACTAGCAGCCGGGACAGAACACCGCCGAAACAAGAATGTCTCGAAGGAGGAAGAGGAGGAGAAGGAGGAAGAGACCGTTACATCCGCTCACCCCAACCCCTCTAGAGCCGCGGCGCGATCGCACCCGAGCAGGCTTAGGGAGCACCGGCGGCTATGGTCGGCAGGGAGATGCGCGCTGACTTCACGGCCCCCCGGAGTAGTTGGCTGTGCGAGGGCGGCAGCACCAGAAGTCGGCGGCGACGGACCCAGCCCAGAACGGACGGTAGCACCGGGTGCAGCAGGCTGCGGCGGGTGGCTCGACCGTTGTCTCTCGCCCGATGGAACACACAGATCGATTAAAAGAAGAGCTGGGAGTGAACAAGAGGTGGTTGATCGGATATATTCCGCCGGGCGTTGCGACGGAGGGCGTTCAGGACTGCAGCCTCAGCCAAATCAGCGGCGGCGGCGGCGGCCCGTTACCAAAGGACCGGTCGCCACCGTCGCCGCCGCCGCCGCCGCCGCCGGTGGCAAAAGCGGCAGCAGCGGCAGCTGGCATCCTCCTGCGCTTCTTGCGGGGGGACTGCTGGCCGCCGTTGTGCTCTTGTCGCCGGCCGGTGCGGGCGCGACGATACCGCCGTCGCCGGCGCCGTTTGCGATCTCGGAGGCGTTACGGGCGGGGACCTTGGGGCAGCACCATAATCCCCCCAGGGATGCACTCTCTCGCGACGGGGGCGGCCCGCATCAGTTTATGTTTGGAGGGGGGGGTGGGGGGGGGAGTCGCAGCTATGGGGACGGAGAGGGGGGTGACGGGGCGGCAGTGCGCAGGTCAATGGCCGTGTCAGAAAAGGGCAAGGTCGGCTCGAGCAGTGACAGCGGCGGCGGGGAGGGGGGTGACGGTAGTCGGGGGACAAAGAAGGAGGATACCACGCAGCCGAAAGCTTTGGAGGCGCTGGTAGTCGGGGGCAACTTCACGCTAAACGGGAAGAGCACCAACGTCGCCCAGTACGACCCTGTCAGGTTAGTTGCGCCTGTGTGTTTTGTGTGTGTCTTGATTATTAGCGTCGGCCGCGCTAACCGGCTGGCCAATTGTTGTTTTGTTGTTGTTTCTTACATTAGCTCTTTAGTCCACAAAACGTGTGGAGCCCGTGGTCTCAAAACCCGGCACATACGACGCCGCGGGGAAACAAAGCAAAAATAGGGTACAAACCACTCGGAAAAAGAGAACATGATAGAAAGTAAATAAAAGGTACCGCACCGACCGTTCGAGAAAAGAGCCCTCGGAAACCGGCTGGCCAATTTGTTGCGTGTGGTTCCTTTAGTTTGCCGGCGCTAGGCTTTGTAGAAATACGAACGCGCTCTGCGTGTGTGCGTGTTCCTCTTAGTGTTTTTCTGTTAAGAGGCGTCATTAATCCTCGTAGACAACTCCAACACGCTTTTCGTGTGTATGGTCTGCCTGCTCGGTTCTGTAGTCTATTGTAGTATTGGATCGCCGTGTTCGTAAGACGTGTTTTCACCGGCGCACCATTTTTCGAGGGTAATGACAGAGGTTGGCATTTGGCGGGGGAGGAAAGCGGGGTGGGACGTGAGGTTTCACACGGCTTTGCTCTCTGGTCTCTCGTTTTTTTCGCGCGCACGTTGTGGCCATGGCTGGATACCATACCCATGTACCCATTCCCTTAGACGACGGCGATGATCGGTATGGCACGTAGCAAAATGCAACATTGTGTGGTTTTGTCGGATTCGGCGGCAGTCGCCCGTGAGGGGCTGTTGACCATCGCACCCCCCCCC